TATGAAAGTTACCTCAACGCTTCGTATGAAGGGTCAGTGTAGGTGTGGTGATCCTCATTATACATTAAGAGAACCGAGTATGCGAAGTGTCGTGAAAGAGACTCTTGGTGTATTCGATAAGCCGTAGAAATCACCAGATGAAAAGAAGTCAGCCAGTGACCGACCAAATTCAGAGGCCTTCACTGCAGCTGGGAGTCTGTCCCACAACTGAGAGAATTTGACGACAAAGAAGTTTGTGCGAAAGCAGGACTTGAACGATTTCATTTTGACGCTATGGACGTGGTTGCACAGATCATAACAACTGTTGTGTTCGAACTGAAACTCACCACTGGCTGTAAACGTGTGTTTATGTAACACATTAAAGAAGTGTCAGGTTAATTTTGAGTCGTCTCATCCAAAGTGTTTCTAGACTTAGTGTTCTGCATCTGGAGCTGCAGTCTTGTTTGCAATCGTGTCCTAACAATCTAGCTGTGAAATACCTTTGGACACCCTCCATTTTATGGTTGTCTATTATGTGGATACCACTCAGTATAAATGGACAGTATTCTTATGGTGGACGTATGCAGGTTTTGCAGAGTGGCAACTTGACTTCTTTGAAGTGGAAGTTACGAACTATGCAACCCATCAGGATCCTAGACTTGCGAGTCTCTGATGCTCCCTGTTCAGAAAATGTGAGGTCCCTTTAATATCTTAGTCCAAGGTCATGTACACTTTTAAGAACAGGAAGTTTCGTAGACTGAAAATGTAGTTGGACATCCACTGACGGAGCACCAAAACATATCCAGCCACATTTGCCTATATTGAACTGAAGTTTCCAAGCAGCAGACCATGCGGATATTATATCGAGCTCCCTTTGTATTAGTGCTTGGAAGTGGGATAAGTTGTCACGGGTGAATGTGTATGCAACGTTTATGTCATCAGCAAACAAGAATGGTTCACCGTATGTAAAGCAGCTGCAGATGTCATTGACGTATAAAGTAAAGAGAAGGGGGCCTAATACACTGCCTTGAACTACACCAGAGGTGATTGGCCTACGTTTTGAAGTGTGTGAATCTACCTTCACCGCTTGAGTGGGATTACTGAGGAAAGACTTAATCCATCCTAATAATGGATAGTCAATTCCCATAGTCATCAACTTGCTTATTAACAGCAGGTGATCGACTCTGCCAAATGCCTTTGAAATGTCTAGATAGCGAACAAGGGCTAATTGGTGTCGGTCGTGCATAGTGGTTATGAAGTTAAGGAAGTCGAGATGTCAAGTTATACAGGACCTCGATTTTAGGACCCCATGTTGACTCGATGTGATGTTGTTGCCACCAGGCATGTGCTGAAGAATGCTTTCTTTAATAACTTTCTCCATAATTCTGGAAACCACAGGCGTAATATTCATTAGTCTGTAGTTACTGGCTAGTGTTTTTGAACCAGATTTACATCTAGGGAGAATAAATGATGTTTTCCAAATATCAGGGTATGTGAAAGATTCCAAAGAGAGAGAGAATATTTTAAGTAATAATAATGGAATGTCAGGGCCACCAAATTTAAAGAAATGTGATGATATTCCGTCTGTGCCAGCGCTGCTGGAGCATTTTAGCGTCATAATGGCTTGGTGAATATTAAAGTATGTGAATTCAACTGTATGTACTGTCGTTAGTTGAAGAGAAGAATAGCTTTTGAAAGTGCAGACCGCATTAGTGTCGCACGAAAAATCTATGGGTTCCAGATAACTGACTGCAAATAAGTCGCTGAATATTTCACACATATCCACTGGATCATTATAAGCTTTGGTGTCATGGATAAGAGGAGGAATTTTGTCTCGTGCAATTCGATCGCTTCTTAAGGAGTGCTGAGAGAGCATACACTCTAGATGAGCTAGCTAGTCCACGACTCTCTTCATTCTTCAGACGCAAATCGTGGCTGTGTGAGATAAAGTTAAGAGTACCAAGAATCAGCCGAAGTGCATCGACGTCGTGATGTCTGCAGCATCTTGTTTAGAGTTTGCGTAACTTTCTAAGAGCATTGGGAGGTATATATGGCTTATTGTTTAGTGGCATTTTTTGAAACCTTTCAGTGGAACGATGGTATCGAGGCAGGTTTTAGAGTTGTAGTAAAACATATCAGTGATTAATTTGAGGTCTCTAGTGGTGAAGAATGATCCCCAGCCAATGCACCTGATCATTGGACACACCTGGCGCAAATCCGTTCCACCGTAGTCTCTATATACTATTTAGTGTGTAGTGGGAGTGCCAATTGAAGTACTAGTTGCAGGAAGTGGCAGTGCGCACAATACCGAATTGTGATCACTTCCTGGGAACTTGGAGCCTACATTTGTCGAAATAGGAAATATGTTATGGCAAAATATTAAGTCCAACACATTGTCACCTCTTGTAGGAGTTGTAATAATTTGCTTCCATCCAAAAACAGACAGTTTATGGAAAAAGTCGTCATACCTAGCCGGACCAGTAAGTGAATCCCACTTAATTTCAGGTAGGTTAAAGTCACCGCATATGATCTTATGATCATATGGGAGAGTGGATGCATGTTCCAGAGCCGTAATCAGTGGAATCCCATGATTGTTAAAGGTACCAGGTGCTCTGTAGACACATCCCACCAGTGCTGTAGCATTCCTGTAGTGTACTGCGACCCATAGAGAGTCACTCACTTTATCAAGAACCATATTTTCCAACCTGAATACGGTGAAAGTGTTCATGAAGTACATCAGGCAACCTCCTCCTTTCTTGTTACTCCGGTCACATCGGAATTGTGCACACATGTCAATACTTATCTCTTCATCTGGTATGTTTGCGTGACACCAAGACTCAGTGATAATTATTACCGGCAGCTTATATATGAGCACGATTCCTCTTAATACTGATAGTTTACCAAGGACGGACCTTGCGTTAATGAGAACGATGTACAAGTGGGAGGATTAATAGTGTGTAAAGCTTTCTAGTTCACTAAACAAGCCAAAAGGTATCTCAGTGTCGCTTGACTGAGTGTAGTCTGACGTCGTTGCATTACAGAACGTCTCCACACCTTGTTCACTTGTAGCTGTAGAGTTGTTAGGATATCCCAGTGGTAACTCGACAGCACAGTGACTTGAAACGGTGTCACCTTTATCAGGGGAGAACAGAGTAATGTTTTTATTTGTGTTAAGTGTGCACATTGTATCCAAATAAACAGAGTCTCTAGTATCTGTTACACAGAGGGTAGGTAGTTTTACTATTGTACGTGGTGGGTATGTAGGGCTGGTGATACCACTTGGAAGATTCAACAGACCTGATGTGCTTTTGTATCTGTTGACGCCACTTGGGTAGTTGGTGTCTAGGATTCGTGTGCATGTTTGGCTGTGTCTTTTCTGTTGCTCCGATGGCGATAAGACTAGCCATTCAGAGTAAGGGGTTTCAACATCGGCATCAGTTGTTTGGCCAAAGCTGCAGCTGATAGGGATGTAATGGATAAAAAATCATCGTGTTTTTGTGGTCCATATAAACTTCTGCTCTGTGTTGTATTCCTTACCAGTGACTGCCTTCTGGTACAATTCGCAAGGGACGTAACTGGCGGCAACCACCGGAATCCACTTGTTGGTCGTCACAAAAGCATACACTGATGAGTCAACCAAATCAGGCGACTGAACTTTTATTGCCGCAGCACGAAAACGAAATGAAATCAGAATTCCGAAACCGGAGTGTTCCCGACCCTGCGACAGTTCATGATACTTCCGTGTCTGAGACCACACATTACGATCTTGGCTGGGTGGCTACCAGCTGAGACCTTGTGGACAGAATACTTGGACGGCTGACAAACTACTTAGCTGGGAGAAATTTCGACGTGAGCCACAAAGCCTGTTAGTGGTTTTCAAAATGATAATCTCACTGAGGATGTCAGTGCGTTCAGATTAACTGGTCAGGTTTGGCTGATCAAAAACAGTTCGATTTTGTGACTGGGCACAAGGGTGGTGAGCTGGGCTCTAAACAAGCGAAACAACCATCCGGTGCTTAGACCACCCCAATCCGGTTGACGAAAATTTCAGCCCTGCTTTGGCGATTTTCAACCACACATGCTCTTCAGCGGTATGCTTCGGTGTCTCTACTCCAGAACTCCTTCTGACAGTTTTCAAATTATGGGGATGGTCGCATCTGGTGGTAATCAGTACCATAACACCCTCAGCACTCAAGGGAGACTCGAATCACAAAGGTCTGTGGCAAAGAGAGTTATTGGAAAAAGGGGAAAAGCACGGCCCGAAAGAGTGGGACACTTAGACTTACATACTTCAATCTATCATACAAAGAGAGGCAACCTTATTTTAGCCTACTAGATCATCCACCAGGTGAGTCATGAAAATAAACTAACCCTAAATGCAAAATGATGGTCACCGGGAGCGAAGCCCATTAGAGTGGCATATCGGGACACTAAAAGCAGGCTTAGATAAAACTCTTTTTTCATAAGAGCATGGACCTTATGGAGTGCTTGGCCATGGGGCACAATCACAGGCCCTCTAGTAGACTTATTCAAAAGAAAACCAGGAAATTATGCTGGTTCGTATGGCTTGCCAGGGACGTACTCAGAAAACTACCGTCCTCATTAGTCTACTACTGTTTTCTCCTTATTTACTGCTGGCTATCTATCCGTTTTGATTGGCCAGCTCTATCCTCTCTTTCTAGCAACTCCGCTCTAATAACTATAAACATGCTATCTACTTTTATTCTTCGGGAAGACCCCATGTGCCCTCCCTACTGTTTTGCCATTCTCACTCGGTTTTCTCAGGGGATGGGAGTCAAGACATACTGCGGCTTCATAACCGCCTCAATATCCGAGTTGCAGACAAAAACCTACAGAAAATGCTCATGTCAACACAGCTAAAAGCAAGGTAGATTTCCCTGTCTACTTCAGAATAAGAACCCGAAAACGAGGACCAAACCCCAGAAACTAGACGCTTCACCTCAAAAACTGACGATTCCCTTCACTGGCACAACTGCTGTTCGATGTTGAGTGGTGTTAGAGGCAGTGCGCAAATTGCGATTGTCGCGTTACATCGCGTGTCCTGAACGGCTATGGGATTTAGTAGTCTAGGTTTGATTCCTGAGTTGTGTTCAGTTTGCCAGCGTATGAAATGGAATTCCCCCACGCAAATACAGTCTGAATCAATACCTAAAGCCCTTGAAGGTTTGTAGTGAATTACCATTTTATGATACGATAGTATATAAATATCAACCATGTTATTTTGTAACAGTAGATCAAAGTCTTACCAAAATATTTGTTGATAAGCCGACGTTCTCCTAAGACTGACCTTGTCTTGACCGTGATCGGGCGATAGCAAACTCATAACATTGAGTAACTTGCGAGATTAGTGTAAATATGGTGTTCTTAAGGGATTGAAAGTCTGTAAACCTCAGTTAATAACAGTCTACCAAGGGTCAAAAGTTGCAACTAAGATAAAGACTAAGGGCCTTATGTCGAAAACTTTTCAAATCGCCTTAAATTACCAATCATTATCAAAAGACGTCCACCCACCGCACCAGAGAAAGTTCAGTGTTTCCTAGATGAATTACTGTATTAGTTAATGACAAAAGTACTGAAATAGACAAAGTCTGTATACAGGACAACATTCGTGATCTTGTCACACAACTGTTTCTCAATTTTTGACAAGGGTGTCGACGGAAATTTGTAATTACTCCGAAACATTTCCAGCCATCTGATTCATTTATCTTCCATATTCTGTCTTTAAGATGGCTCCAAAAGCCTTTAGTGGAATTTGTCTGAGTTCCAGACACGGCTGGGGAAACCCGAGTGGTGATGATAGGATCATGGACGTAGCCCAGAGAAGATAAGTGAGTGTGAATCTGGCTCTGCTAGTGATGTGATCGTGGATCCCCATGAATCTTGATTTGATTATGCAAAGTAACTTTGTTGTTTATCAACTTGGGATGTTGTGAGTGGAAATTCACTCTTATCAACATACTGACCTAAAATCTCTGCGTCATATGAGATTCGTGGAAATTATTAATTAGGGTTTCTATTTCTTTTAAAAGGAATTATACTCCTACCTAATCAAACAAGTTTGGATATACATTTATTTGACAAATCTTGATCGATATATCTTTTTTCCACTTGCAGCACAGTTTACAGGTCGTATCTATACTTGGGGCCGTACTGTGGGTCAACCATTACTTATCACGAGGTTTTGTGTTTATGTACTATTGAGGTGAGGTACAATGGGTTATGCAAGCGTTATATGAACGAATCTAACTTATCCTCTAAAACCGACTACCTTACAGTACACTAAAGAAGTGGTGGTAGACTAAGAAAGCGACCACGCTCCAACTGTAAGTAGGTCATAATATACCTGTTAATCAACCATAATATAGTGTAGAATTTTAGAATAGATAGACTAGGAGACATAAAACGTTGTACACAAATGCGTCATTTGAAGTCACTTTCGCAGTGACGTACGAGGCGATATTGGGTAGAAAAAGGACGACTTGGAAGTAAAACAAGTTATAGGCAGAAATAGAAAGCGAAGAGAGGTATAGATGCTCGAAGTCGACATCTGCTCCACTAACTGATCTGAAACCATATCATCAAGATTATGTAACTCAACCCGTTACAGATGCTTATTTACCAGACAGAGAACCAAACACAGTGTAAGGGATTATGATACTACCTGGTTGATGTACGTTGAAGTGAATTTGGACCTGAAATCTATTGTTTGCTAGTCAAATGCTGAAATCACTTAGCTAAATCACTAAGGGTTAATCACGGCTCCTTGTAATCTCTTAGACCTCAGCCAAACTACAGACCAGTGCACAACTGGCACTAGCAGTCGGATACTTCGTGTATTCGTGCCATTCCTCGATCTTGCCACTCAAAGAATTCTACCAATTTGGTTTTACTTCGTCTGATATTGTGCATCGAGGTAGGCTGTGATTCTGTATACGCAACCTGCTGTATCAAACGATGAAAGGGGAAGGTAGATCTCGGTTAAATAGTATTGTTCTCATTGCCTATCGATTTAAAAAATCCTACTTAGGAACTGTATAGTAGTATCACTAACTAAGTTCAACAACTTAGTTTGGTCCGTCACTCATTTCCATACGACTCATGGTTCATAAATAACCGACTGTTAAGTAAGATTAACTATTGTGCATTATTCTACTGTGTAAGAAGCCAGCCAGTTAGACGAACAAGCAAAACCAACATAGAACCTCTTACACAAGTGCATCTGTTATTGCCACACTTCACAGTAATATGCAAAAAAAGGTGGATAGAAAACACATATCAAAGTAGACATAGATGTATTAAAGGAGAAGGAGTTAAAAAATCAAGGTCTTCAATGTTTCTCCAACTGGCATCAGTTCATGATGCATACCGACCTGGAAAACATTTAAGTATAGAAGACTCCAAAGGGTGGATACATCTGCCCCACTGCAACTAATTTTCAGCCATGTCACCAAGAATCTCCAAGCCCTCATTCCTATGATCTCAGCAACTCCAGCCTCTCCTCACACAGCTATAACCAACAATCGGAGACTATGGATTAGTGTCACGTCCTCATCTGGCTACCATGAACTCCCTTCCAACCTAATACAACTTCCCCTAGCATGCCACCCCGAGGTAAGTGATGGCTTGGAATGCATAGCACATATCCAAGCTACCTCACTCGTTGAAGGTTTACAATCTCATTGACTAACTTAACTTTGTTGCCTAATACCCTTCGCCTAACTTCTACATTTCTCACATGGCGATTCTACCAAACGCGAGCAATGCTGCGAAGACACCTATGATCAGAACCCTGTAACCGCTTCATGTCTTCTAATTACAACGACCATGTATCATAGACGTATAACAATACAGAAGACTGCAGCGCAGTATGCTCGTCCCTTAATGGATAGTTGGATATCTCGCCAGTTGGTGCCACAGATGACGCATATTGCCAAGTGCCAAATGGGTCTTCTGTATCCGAGCTCAGATTTAATCAGCAAGCATCCCGTTTGGGCTGGTGCAACTGCTGAAGTAGGTGAAGCGGTCAGCACATTCCACCCATTCACTCCCTATCCTTATTCTAGAAATAGTTCTGGAAAATCATCTCGTATTGGACAGATGCGAAACGCATGTGAAGCATACTCAGATTTCTGCTCAAGGCGTTCAGAAGACCTTACATTTTGTCAGCATCTTCACCTAGCGGGACAATATCGTCTGCATAATCCAACTCAGCCAGATGACCACCAGTGGCCAGATCAACCACTGTAAAGTCAGACTTGCCTAAGGCTGTATCTGCCATTACGTCTATAACGAAGCTGAACAGAAAAGGTGATAGTAAGCACTTCTGGCGGACACCAATAGTTGTCTTCACTTCTGATGACAATTCTCTATAAACCCTTACATGGCTGCGTGAGTTTGAGTAGAGAGATTTGATAAGCATTATATACTTGCTCGGTACTCTCTTCACAGTCAGACACTGCCACAACATCTCATGGTTGACGGAGTCGAGTGCCGCTTTCAGGTCGAGAAATATGACAAGTGTCGGTCGTCGGCCGGTAAGTATGCCTGTGTTACAGAACCTATGGGAGGATGAAAATCTGGTTGATGCATCGTCATTCAGATCCGAAACCCGCCTCATTTTCTCGAGATCCAGTTGGCTGTCAGATATCTCTGGATGCTAGGATGTCGGACAGAATATTAGTCAAACTAATTCCCCTATGGCAATCACAGGAAGACGTCTTTCCCTTATAGATTGGAATGATCAGTGAAGTAGACGAGTCTGATGGCATTACCTTTAATTCCCATATACTACCTAGTATCTCCGTCACTTTAATTAGCAATTAAGATGAATATATGTTCTAGAGTTCTGGTGAGCGAGACCTACTGACCAATTTGGAATAGAGTTTGGACGCGGAAACCTGCAATGTGAAGTCCTCAGTGTGATCTTATGAGACTGAACACATTGTTCTACTGGTTTGGATCGTCGGTGATGGTCACAGGGCATAAAGTTGAGAATGCTGTAGGAAGCATATTTCTAGTATCGGGAGTAGTGAGGAGAAAGAAAAGGGTTAAGGTAATCGGGGTATGTTATTATTAAGTGGATTTTACTTGCAGATGGCGATGTGCTGGGTACTGATACATCCATGCGACCTACATAGTAAGCTACTGGAAAAATCAAGTAGAATTTATTATGCGTAACCGCAGATCCGAAAAGCTTCTGTCTAAAACCAATACAGCTTTGGAGCTGCATCCGTACTAAGGGAACTGTTTCTCAGGTGATGAACTGTCGCGCAGTAGAGTGTATAGTTTTTAGGGTTGACCTTTTCTAAGGTGGCATAACTGCTGTACCGGTCACCTTACTATCATTACGCTCCTATCAAGCCAGTAGTAAGGCTTCCCCATGTACTCATCGGAGCGTTATTTATTTACCGTATAATCTTATCTGCTTCTGTTCTCACCACTATCCATCTGACGTCTTAGACATGATAAGACCTAAAGAAATAGTCGTTCAAACCAGCATAGCTCATTGAACCATTGCGATATGCAAGCCTGTCAACCACATCTAGAGACCAGCTATCGGTCGGGGAAATTTCAGACACTCGCATGATGCCTTCATCATGAACTTATCTACAATGTACGTTTTACGCAAACTTCAAACCGTCCTGTTCTGTGAAACTACTTCCCAGATAGTAAGAACCCACTTCATGAGTAAATAAAAACTAATATATTGGATATTAAGCTATGGTGTTAGCTGCACAACTATGGTTCATTTTACGTCGATAGTTGCTGCTACTTATGTTCTTTCTGCTTCAATAATTGTATCTTACATGACTGAAATATGAACAGTCATTTGGATATATCCTCGTACATGCTGATACAAGCCTTTTGCTTACGGTTACTGACACCAGTCATGTATTATCTGAAATTTCACTCATAAACCTCTAACGAAAAACTGTTTTATCGTCTTACTGAGCTTATTTTTACCACCTTGCAGTGTATTGTGTGTCATGATTAAGTTACACGAAGTTTTACTGTTATATTACTTTATATCTATGCCGTAGTGATTATTGATTTGATTGAAGACTTACTGGTTTTTATTCTTATAGGGACGGATATTGTAGGGATTGCTGAAACAGGATCGGGTAAAACAGGAGCATTTCTTCTTCCTATAATCCAGGTAAGTAATATTTTGTCTAGAACTAATATGGTTCCGTGTTGTTCTTTTCTGTATCTGAATTAACGTCGAGACTTCTGTTAAAATGCTGCCAAACAAACAGCTGAAGAATTTCGACTGAATACTTACTTCTTATTAAAGCGGTTAACATAGTCATGCTTCTTGTCACGATTTTGATTGTTGGAGTCTTTTGAATGTGAGATAAAAGTGTGATTCACTAACTAAGCATACCATTTCCACCCAATGAGTGTCGAGTTTAAACTCCCCTCTACCTAATTTGGTATAGGAAGCTGGGTAGTATCATAAGCTTTTGCAAATCATACTTGACCTGTAGTTTAGTAAATAGATAATGTACTGGAGTCTGTGGGTTGGAGTTTCTGTTGCATCGTCTTGACACCCATGCTGTAACATCTTTGTATAAGAAATATGGTTTGGTTGTCTAATAGTCTTAGAAATTCGCTGCAATGAAATAATGGTGTAAAATTTGGATGGTTTATGTGACTTTCTACTAGAAGAACTACTTTCAAACGAACTTTCGTCATGATTTTCGGGAACATATATAAATTAACTAATGTGTGCACAATGAAGCTCAGTAATCCGTTTATTGTATTGTGTTTTTTATGTATGTATGTATCACACTCATACAGTAAGAATAAATGTAAAATAATTGTTTACATGATTGTAAATCTGTGGATCATATGGCTTAGTCACTTGATTTCTAATCGGTATTTCATAGGTTTGAATACCGCTCCACCTACGGATGATGTTTCCACAACTAGGTAGTAACACAAGCCCTTACTCAATAAGTGTAGCTCATTGCCTACTATACAAATGTGCAAAAGATTTGTTTTTCCTCTCAAGAATATGGTTTCATTTTACTCATCTTGAAACGTCACATACACACACCTATTTGAGTTCCCATACTTTTGGAAAAGAGCTATGTCACATCATCAGTTGATGTCCAGTCACTATGTACTAGGTTAACATACTACTAGATTTCATGGGGTCTGGATAATCAGTTGGTTACATCAATCCTTATACAGTGGGTGTAGCTTAAAGTTTAATGCACAAATTTGTACGTGTCTATTTGGTTGTGTTTGTCGTCAGTAGCGTAAGAAAGGAAGTAATTAAAAATCTGGTTTTATAATAAACTACTAAAATACCTAACTGAATAGAGGCTAGAACAACAAAACCGATGGTGTTTCTCAACCACATATCTTATATTCTGTTGGAGTTAATATAAACTGTCTGCAACTTCTGATTTTCATTGTTGAATATAAACCAGTTCATTTGGCTCTACCCATGTTTTTCGCTGGATGTGTATCATCTATCTACTCAGATTTAGTGTTTTAAAGGTCTTTAAAGGGTAGAGGTGATTGAATACCAACTTTTTATCTTTGACTTTTAATAATTTCACAATGTACAACCATCTAACTACTGCAAGTTAACTCCATTTTCAAACCAGAAAAAGAAGAAACTCAACGATACCTTACTTTATACGACGTCTAATTGTGGCAAGTTTCACTTAACATCTATTAGGGTGTTATTCTGATGCTGTCTTTTTTGAGCGATATCACAGAAGGTTATTTAATGGATGTATACAAGGTATCTTGTGCAACTTCATTACAACAGTTGATGCTTACCTCAATAATATCTATCTTCAATATTTTGCTTAACTTCATTCAATATGTTGTTTAGACTATAATAATTCTCGATTTCTATATTTAGCTGGCCAATCTTCAGCTTGGTTAAAAGTAAATAAACAGTAGTTAGTTTTTATTTCTACAATATGTGTATACTGTGGATTTTGTCACTTACCTTAAGTTCTCCCGTTGAACGACATCATTTAGATTTACTGAGTTTGTTTAAAAAATTTTATTTTTGAGATGAATGGAGATTTTAATTTTGAGGTAGTATTCATCATGGAATCCTCCGATCTGGCCCGGGTACCGAACTCAGGACCTCCAGGTTTCACAGCAAACAGGTTAACCATTTAGCCAGTGGGTCAGAGTTCAGTAGTTTACAGTTCCCAACTTCTGTCAGTTCGTGATATAGTGTACCTACCACCCAAGGTCTTCAGTAGGCATCCACTTCCCTTCCGACTGGTTGATCCCAAAGGTCACGAATTCGCATCAGAACTTCGTGACATCCATCTGGAAGCATGTGACCAATTGACACTACGCAGAAATGAATGGGGATTTTAATTCTGAGGTAGTATTCATCACGGACTGACATCATACTAAGACAAAACAGCTATCCAGTGCTCTCAGGTTTTCAGCAGTTCCTCAAACTGATGTCAATCCGTGACGAATACTACCTTAGAAAGTTTGTGTTTAACTGTGAATTGAAGTCATAGGATAAATAAAATCATGTAATGTATTATTATCCACTACATTTAAACTTATATCTTCATCCTGTTTCTAATAAAACCATGAAGAGATATTTCAAACAAGCTGCTATATTACTATGTATCTGTGTTGAAGTAGATTTACGTTGTCACATAATGTAGAGCTTAATTTTGATAACGGTCTTTATAGGTTTTATACATGAAAACCCTTGCTAGTCAGTAGTCAAGGATTCATGGGTTCAACATTATGATTAATACTTTCAAGCGTTCCTAGTTTACGTTCCATTTTTAAGAATACAGATATAGTTTAGGTCAAGTAGCTCGACTCAGTATAGCAAGGGGAAATTGCAAATAAGTATAGTCAGTTTTAAAAACATTCAATGTAAATACGTTGAAATATGCTTCTTTTCAATTCTGATGTCGATAAACATGTGGTAATTTGCATCATCTTTGGTGCCAGCTAACAAGATATCCAACTATCTGTTGAAGGACGAGTATTCTGCGCTACATTCTGTTCTGCCTTGTTATATGGCTGTGAGATATGGAGGTTAAAAGTAGAAGATATGAAGTGGTTACAAGTTTTTGATCACAAGTATGGTGTATGGTGGAATCATTATGGGAGCAGTTTTGAGGTTAGGCGAAGGGTACTAGGCAAGGAAGTTAAGTCAGTTAGTAGGGTTGTGTATCTTCATCGACTGAGATGGCTTGGACGTGCACTACCCATGCCGAGCCACCGCGTATCTTGACGTTGCATGCTAGCGGAAGCTGGAGTAGGTTGGGACATGGTTTAGGGTGGCTCAGATATTATTTCCTCTAAATGCATATCTTCTCTTTGCAGATTTATAAGGTTCAACCATAATTTTCTCGTCAAGACTTAGCATAACATTGTAGCCTGTTTCAGTTACCATGTATTGGGAAGTGATGGGAACTAGGAAAGCTCTAAGATATAAATAATTTTGTATTCTAGTCAATTACCACTTCTTACACCTTAAAGTAACTTTGCTAAAGGTGATTTTTGAAAATGCCATTTTGTAACCAATGTTACAAATGTATAAGAAGCACTAGTTGACCAGTTAGTTAACAAATGAATCATATGGAAAAACTTCTGTTGCTAAAACCTCTTAAGTGTTAAATAGACAGTCTTGTAATCTTGCTTCCCATTTATTCATTATTGCTCTATGGGTACTTTATCCTAAAAGGGACGCCAGCAATCCAATTTGTCAGTAGCCAGTTTATTCTCAAAAGTCTGTAAGGTGGTATCAAAGAGAAAAGTTATCTTTGGATGTGTCATTCCTCCTGTTAAAGTATTAGTAATACAAAATAGATGTTCCGTTACACTTTTTAAGAGATAAACTTGTCGACTAATCAGTATCCATCTCCAACTGAAGCATACCTAGACTTGTTTGTATCGAGGTTGAACAATCTACGTAGACCTATTTATTATCCAGCATCATAGAAGCAGATGAATGAATATGTACACGTAGATGTAGTCACTATTCAGGGTTTATCTTTTCACACATATACTCATAAAGCCACTAGGGGAGAGAATACTCTGAGTTGTTGCGGAAATTACTCATCTGACAAATTTCACCATTCCACACTTTAAGACTACGTCTTGTCTGTTGGTGTTAAATTGCATGATTATACTTTCCTTATCCAGCTGCTTCATCGTAGAACTCCAACTGTCCTTTTAACCGGAAAATCCTTCTGAGTATCTTTTTTCAACGAATACTGATCTTAAGCATTTTATTTATTTATTAGTGTCAGGTTCAAATTCTACCTCATCTATTTTGCCTAGATGACCGCTTAGCATCCACCATAAGTCTTCAAACAATGATTATGACTCATACTCCAGTATATTCAACCTCTAGTGGTTTAAGCTGCATCCACTGAACTAATTCAAAACTAGTCCCTCGGTTTTCTGACCTAATTGCCTTTATTCAATTGGTATTTTGCTTTCGAATCCGACCATAAATCCCTGCTGCAGGCATTGATATGCCATGGAGTGGTGAGAGTTTTCTACTTTTAGGGCCGAACTTTCCCTTCTCAATCCAATAAGGAACGCAGCATCAGCGTGGCACTTTCGGTCATCCAAGGGAAACACCTTACTGCTGCCACACTCCCATCCAATCAGAAGTATACGTTCGCCTTCAGACTCCCATCATGGAGTAGCAATTTGCACCATAATGGTAACTGCTTTTTGTCTCACCACTGTCCAGTAGATGTTTCTGGTATGGTAGGACCTCGAGGGAACAAGCTTTCTAACCAGTATAACTCGTTGGGTCATTGTGACTTACATGTCCGACCACCACGCCAAGATAGCAGCTGTGGGTTGCTCTGTTCTACTTTGTGACTGTCAAATATTACCACTAAAGGTCAAGAACACGAGAAAGCTTTCAGTGTTTGACCACCATTGCATTCGCAGCATCGGCGATCTGTGTTGCTGTCACCACGTCAGTAACACAGGAGTCAGGTGTAAAGGTTTAATGGAGGAGAGGAAAGTCAGTTGGTAAGGTTGTGAGCTGTCATCGACTGAGATGGCTGGGACATGTGTTATACGTCCATTAACCGTCTGCCTCATCGCGCAATGTTAGTTGGAGTATGTTTAGGCTGAAAAAAGGCTTGGAGCGGCTAGACTACAGAATGACATCAGTGCATGATGTCGATGTTGATTGTCACTCCGAGTCATATTGGGAGATGCAGACTAACCGATTATGGTCCATGTGACAACAGAAACCAACGGCTGGAGACCCTAGGTGGTAGGACTCAAATCGTTGTTAGTGGCGCAGAGGTATCCACACTTGATCTTCATCATCATCTAAACTGAATTCAACGTATCATCCCTCCTTCCTTTCTTTTACTACTCTTGGTCGATTTTTCTCTCTTAATCTTTCATCATAATGCTTCGTTACTTGTTGTACTAATATGAGGCATAACAACGTGGACAGGGAAAAGATTGCAATTACTACTTCTAACTTTTCATCAGTTGGAGGCTCAATGGGAAAACCAGTTACTCTGACTTTTCGCAGTCCAATCGACAAGTAGCATTAAACAGTATCATTTAAAATGTTAGAAAACACCAACCGACAGCAGAGTAATCGATATCATTATAGCATGGTATAGTCTACTAATAATACATTGTGGCTCATTGGTCTAGACTGTTGATTTTCAGTCATTGGATCATGGGTTCAAACTTTACTCCACCTACCGAGATTTTAGCAGACAGGTACACAAATAGGTGTGTGAGTTGCTGAGTCTATCTATGCAGAATTTTATTACTATCTTTTTCATTTTTCTTTTCTCGTTGACAAACTTTTAGCATTGGATTAAATCTGGTCAACCTGTAGGCTTTGCATTAATCTTGGCACCAACACGTGAATTAGCTCAACAGTTAGCTAATGAAGTGGAACGATTGGGTCAGTATAAAAGTGATAAGATGGAATTTCATCTTCAAGTTGTTCGTCTTGTCGGTGGTGAAGATATTGTAGAGCAAGCGTTAAAACTCGCCTGGCGAAAACATCATTTTATTGTAGGTAAGAGAAGTTTTTTTAATTGTATTGAATAGGCAGTTTATTCTCACTTTTAACTGAGAAATAAGCTTTTTCATAAGAGTATTCAAAGTTTAAATAAAGCTCTTTGATAAAAATCTGAACATTCTACTAAAGAAGCTGTGACTTACATAGTGAAACATTGAGAAACACCCTGTTTTGATTTGCTGTAGAGACGTTGGAATTATATTCAAACCTATTCTTCTAGTTTTTTCGAACACTCTTGAAATGACAGTGAAATAATGAGAAATGTGCCAAAGATACTAACGCAATGCAATACGTCAACTGGACACAAATAGCGACTATTCCCCTTTAGTACACTATACTTTACTGAACCACGATGGTAACAGAAACAAAGATTGGTCTATGACTGTGAGGAAGACACTTTATTCAACAGAACTTCATCATCTATATATTTTTTGTCCCTTGGGTTCCTAGTGGAACATAGGACTTCAGTAGCACGTCACCATTTCACTCACTTCTCTGCACTCTTCTCTTTTAACAAGGCTCCACCACTGCCCACAAGCTTTCATTTCCTCCTCACACAATCTCCTCCACGTCACCCTCGTACGCCCAACTTCTCATTTCCCCTTCGGACTTCACTCGACCACCTGGCCTGGTCTAGCGCATGATATCCCCAAACGGTCCTCTCAGTACATGTCCAACCCATCTCCACTTTCTTCTACTTCATATTTGTTGGGCGATGGCTTCTTGGTCGGTTGGGTTCCTTGCCTACCAGCCAGCCAGCCAGACTTCCTTGTTGCTTATTCTTAGTATTCTCGCCATCTGATCATCTTCAGTATGGAGTGAGCGTAGATGGCAGCTGTTGATGTGATGTGTGTCTGCTGTTTGTTGGAAATGTTTTTCGTAACGCGTCGCCAAGTCTCTCAACTATCACATAAAAGTACTGGGTTAATTGACTGACACTAGTGTTGAAAATTCGGATGTTGTTCACGCTTTATATTGAGTGCAATGTAGTAGATCTCCACACTGATTTTAGATTAATGAAGGTCTGTCTTGCTGTCTTTCCTATCTATCCTGGCTGCTTTGACGTCTTCATCTGTGCCACCTGTAGTTGAAACGATGCTCCCGTTGATGGTGATTGTTGTTGTTGTTGTTGTTGGTCAGGTATTTTCATCACCCCATCTTCTTTACGTTCACCTGAAGGAAGTCCGGTCTTCGCTGCCTCACCTCGCCTCACCTCGCCTCTTCTGTCAACTTGTTAATTTTCGCCTGTAGATCTTCGAGTTTGTGCGACAAGACATTAGATATAAATCATCATCGGCGAAGTCCAAATCTACTTCTGGGCCTTTTACTCGGTCCAGCCAGCGTATAACCCTCTTCTCGCTCCTCACAGTCTGTTGCATGATCCAGTACAGTCCAGCCGACCACAATCAGGAAGATCATCTATATAGTCTTCTTAATTATCCAAAACCACTGGGTCAAAAGTTAGATAACTTTTTCTGATTGGTCGACTGTAGAATAAAACTGTCCGATAAGGTTTTTTTTTGCCAAGGAATAAAAATTGAAATAAGATGCCTTCTACCTTAGCGGTTTACAACTTAAAATGTTGATTTCCATTTAGGCCACTTCCTATCAACTCTGTTCACAGTTTAATTTCCTTTAAGTGTACTGTAACAATGTGGGACAATTTGAATCGACACGTTTTTATTCCGTATTCTTTCCATCTGTCACTCAGTAATAATATATTGATGAAGGCTTACTTCGATCTGTTTTAAATTCTTGTTTAAAAAGATTTACATTTATGTGCATCAATAAAGTTTTAATTTCTGTAGAATTTCTATGCCTAGTTTTTATATAAAACATTTTTCTGGTTGTATTGTGTTTAGTCGTGAAGCTTTCGTCGTCTTTCTAGACGATATCATCAGCACTAACTTCAGTGGAACAGTAAAACAAATGCTGTAAAACTGGAAACATGAAGTCAACATACACTGATCAGATCCTCCACTACAGTAGCAACAACCCAACAACTCATAAAATTAGTTGCCTACAGACTCTATTCAAAAGAGCAAGAACACAGTGCAGTACAACAACTTCACAGAGAAACGAAGAAAATTACTAGATGATTATACCAAAGAGCAGCGGCTACTCACAAAACTTTATCAGAAGATGCCTATTCCGTACATCATCAACTACAAAGTCATCAACAGAAATCAATGATATAGAAAACACTCACAGTTTGATCAACAACGTTTTCAATGACATCAAATTCACAATGCAGAAGGAGTCAAACAACCAACTACCATTCCTGAATGTTACAATCAGTAGGAAAAATGCCGCGAAGCTGGAAACTCAAGTGTACAGGTAGCTAATACACACTAACGAAATCCTCAATTATAGTAGCAACAACCCAACAACTCATAAAATTAGTAGCGTGCAAACTCTGTTCAAAAGAGCGAAAACAACAACTTCACAGAGAAACGAAGAAAATTACTAGATGATCATACTAAAGAATAGCGGTTACTCACAAAAATTTATCAGATGTCTATCCCGTACATCATCAATTAGAAAGTCATCGACAGAAATCAATAAACACATCATCCTACCATACATAAAGAATATATATCAGAAATCACGAAAAGATTACTGAGACCACTTCGTGGAATTGGTGTGGTTCATAAACCAACAAATCCCCTCCAAACACTATTATGCAGACCAAAGGATGCAACAAGCAAAGAAGACAAACCGAATATCATTTACAAAATCAACTGCAATAGCTAACTGTAGTCAGCACTACATTGGACAAAGTGGTCGCCCTCTTCGCCTTCGTCTACATGAACACAAATTGGCTATTAAACTTCATGAAATCTCATCACTCATTTCAATGCACGTGGATAATTATGGACATGAATTCAATTTCGACAATGTAGAAATCTTGGACAGAGGAAATACAAAGAATATGATCAGAGGAATTTCTAGAAGCTTGACATTCAGGTCAGTCAGTCAGCAATCAATGGAGAGATGTATAGACATAGACCCAATCTATCGACCAGTGAAAAAAAATGACAAACGGAAAGGTCAGATGTGAAGCAGAGGAATAGGCAACGTGGAAATCTATACAGTCAATGAAACAACAGTGAAAGGAAACAGCCAATCACAAACCAGTTCGTCAGGGTCAGCTACTAAATAACTCATGGAGAAATATTGATGGTTCACTTCATACTCAAGTAAGTGCTGATGATGTCGTCCAGAAAGACGATGGAAGCTCCATGATTAAACAACCTAGCCCAGAGAACACAACACAACCAAGATCATCCACTTGTTCTATAAATATTCTACACCATATCATAGACATTTTTTACTTTTGTGTGTATAAAACTTTATTTCCAGCTACACCTGGCCGTTTAGTGGATCACTTGAAACAATCACCAAATTTTGCAGCTCATCAATTATCAAATATTCGCCATCTTGTACTCGATGAAGCTGATCGAATGTTGAATATGGCTTTCGCTGAAGATATTGACACAATATTAGATATGTACGAGAAGCCTATATTAAAAAGTCGAAAGAAAAGAAAGAAATCATTGAAAACACTTTTGGAAAAAATAGCTGATGATAATCAACAACGGAATGGTATCCATTTAATGTTTATTGAATAGTACACGTTTTTATGAACTCAATTTATTGTATGTATGAAAAAGTTGTTTTTTTTATTTATTGTACTGTGAGATTATACTATTGAGGTATGAAGAGGTTGTGAATACTATCAGCTAAAAAGTTCGAAGTAGATAAAAAGTTCCGTCGCATATTTAAATTACGTTATCTTCGACGGAGAAACACGAAAGAATGACATACTCAACAACTTTATGAAGTTATATGCAGTAGGCAATGAGCTACACAGTTATTGTGTGAAATCTAATGATACTTACTACCTGAATGCCAAAACATCACTAGGCGGAACGCCAATTCATTGGAGTTCAAGCACATCTTAACCATTTATATGAACATATATTGAAGAACGTTTAGCATCATTCATGTCTAAACTTTCAGTTGAAAGTATTCGATCTGTAATATGATAGTTGGAGATTCAAAATTTCAATCATCACGAAACTGTGGACCTAGGTTCTGTGATTTTTAGCACACCTGTGAAGAGACTCATTTCTCCTTAGAGCTTTGAATATATCATTCTAGACACTCTGGGGATAGGTGTATCGATAGAAGATTATGTACACGAATTCAGTCACTGAATAATACTTTTGATTGGAGATTTCTCCTAATTGATGTGTTACGAATTAGGTACTGTAGAGTTTTGGGTCATAGATTTAACCCCTGCTTCACATACCGAGGTTTGGGCTCTAACACTCTGAGGTGTGGCTCGTCGCCTACTGCTCGAATACCTATAAGATTGCTGAGTGCGTTTCGAGTGTAATAGAGTAAAATTGTCTTTTCAGACATTGATACTAAGTGAGCATTGAAAGTGAAATGAAAATCTTAGCTTCACTTCAATCTGGTCACCAGTTGAATCTCGTAGCTTAGTTGATAGAGTAGCAGGCCAGTAGCCTGGAGGTTGCGCTAGTTAGAATCCTGACGTGACCTAAACTTCCACCTTCAATAATCAACCCAGTATCAATATATAATACTAGTCTACCGAACCACGTTTATCTCAGATAGTCAAATTGATGTTCTCAAACTTTGGTTGATAATCGACTAACCAATTGCCAATCACACGACGTTTGACCAAGGTAAAGAATGAGTATTTAATCTATATCGTACGTAAAAAGCATTGATCAATCAACTATCTTTCTAAAGATGATGACAGTCTATCGACTAAATGTGCAATGTTGTCCCTAAACTAGACAACATAAACAGTGTAACACACTCGGGTAATGAATGTTCGCATTCCTCATGAATAGACTTCAATCGATTATTATCTGGTAGCTGTAAGTAATTCTTATTATCATTTTATGGTAAATAATACAGCATAGCGAAATAAAACATGCAGTCTCTTCCTCAAAACTAACTATTGAGTTGCTTGATCCTTGTGTGAGCAATGTTGAGGTATGAGGTGAAGGGTGTTAGGTAAAGTGGGTGAATCGGTCATTAAGCTTGTGAACCTTCATCAACTGTGAGATGGCTTGGACCATGTACTGCACATACCAAGTCACCGCCTTCTTCGACCTGGGATTCTACAGAAAGTTGGATTAAATTGGGACAGGGTTCAGGTTGGACATACCAAGACTTTTTGATAGATCTTATATACTTTTTGTTTACCGATCATTCTGCTGTCCTCTACTTCTCCGTGTTCCTTTTCATGCGTTCATAATGTTACAATTTCTCCATGTGTAGGAGATTTTTATTTCCAACCGCTTTCTATCTGTCTCGTATGTTTCTCGAATACTCATCTATCCATCGGATAAACAGGTCAGCTTTCCTTGACCCTCTCAACTTCTTTTTCAACTTCCATAGATTTGGTATTGATATGTGCCAAGGCGTCTGTATTCACGGGCAATATTTTTCCTGTGAATTTAGTGGCAGTTGTAGTCATTTGATACAAATCCCTGGAGCAATATGACTTCATTGTTGTTCTTGTTCTCTTCGAATTTATGCAGGGAATGAATTGACATAATACTGGCGCTGGCGAGATATCCGACCACCTTTTAAAGGAGGAGTATACCGCGCTGGAGCCCGTTCTGTCGTGTTATACACTTGCTAGACATAGCCGTTAATAGTAGAAGATATGAAGCACTACGTGAGCAGTGTAGAGGCTGGAAGAAGAGCACTAGGCAGTTCGGTCGATAAGGTTGTGTACCTTCATCAACCGAGATAGCTTGGACACGTATCGCGCATGCCGATTCACTTCCCATCTCGACATGACATACTGAAGGGAGTTGAATAAGGTTGGGAGAGGGTTGAGGGTTAGCAGACGAAGACGTGACACCAGCCAATGAAGTCTCTGACTGTTGGTGTGAGCTGTGTAGACTGTGTCTGGGGTCTTCGAAAGGATAGGAATCAGTTGTTCGAAGGTCTTAATGAAATGGCTAGAAATGGGTTATAGTGGCGTTTATTCTGTCACACAACTTTGTATGCCTTGATATAAGTCTTTTTCTATCCACCTGTTCTTTCTATACTACTGTGAAGTGTGGGAACTTGAACCGACATGTGTGTGTATGAAGTTCTGCTTTGATGTTGTTTGTTTGCCTGATCTTGGCATTCTGCTCCAACTTTACCACCATTAACACTCTAGTGAAAGCGTTTAAGAAACTTGAGTGATAGTGGCATAGATTTCGTCCTTCAGGAACAACACTAACCTTAATTTCTTGGACTATACTATTGTAGTAAACCAAAGTATTATATAAGCATGTTGCCATGTATTGGTCTATCAAAGTGTCAAGTATTTTGGCACCATTGCAGATAGTCTGAATGTATGTGATTCAATTGGCCTGTTAGTAGTGATGATTGGGGTGTTGAAGTCTGAATAGGATATTGTTGCACTCCTAACTAGGTATTTCAATGAAGGTCTGATAGTAAACGGTTAGCTGTACAACATTTAGGCATATCACTTCTCCACCTTAAGGAGGCTCCCTGTATTTAAAGATATAACTTATCCACCTTTTTGAAGTTTTGTGTATATTTGACTATGTGGTACTGCCGAGCATTTTAGGCTAAAATAAATGAAGCGTATCTCAATCCATCACTTTGTCTTTGGTTAGCATATTCATCAGAAAAAGACACAAGTAGCAATATTGAGTAATGATTGAAAGATAAGTGAAGATCTTGACTGCGACAGGATTCAAACCAGCGACCTGAAAGTCACTGGAGGTCTCAAATAGTCAAATTGATTTCAGTAGTAGTTCTGCACCTCAATGGTGTGTTTGCACACTGTAAAAATCAAGATAAGCTTACCCTACTAGGTATAATGACTACAGCAGCTTCCCTGCATTATTTTTTATCCAGTTGGATCTGACTGAAACAGAAAAATGATCACTTCATTAAGAAGTGTTATTGAATGACAGATATTCTTGTTGACCTTTCAGTTCATATGGATTCATCTATAGAAACATTAAAATAGTGTTGTTATCTGGAAATTTTAACAAGAAACTTTATAAATTGGTTAATATCTTTGATAGGCGTCAAAACATAACAGCTTCATCTCAATGATTTCTCTGATTCATATTTGTTTATATCGGTAATAAATTTTTTTGAATTACGCACAAACTTTCAAATGTTTGTTTCAAACAAATTTTCAGGGTTCAACAATCCCAAAATTGCAAAAAAAACCACTAAATCGAAATATCCCCATCCACAGATATACTTATACTCAGCGACAATGACAAAAGATGTAGTTAAACTACGTCGTGCTGCTCTGTCGTCAAATGCTGTCTTCGTCAGTGCAAATGACCAAAACAAGAAAGCTGAGGAGAAGGAGGATATGAAAGCACTAGAAGTCACAGGAGAGTCCAACGAACCTACAAAATCAATACATACCAACAGTATTGAAATGTTTAAGTCATCCACTTTAAAGATTGGTTTTCCTGCTGGCTTGTCACATTACTGTCTACCTATTCGATTAGCAGATCGTCCTGCTATACTAGATTGGATTGTAGAAAGTGGAATTCAAACGAATGTGTTAGAGAAACTTGGGGTTCTAGGTAAATATTCTTATTTACAAACTTTTACTTCTATTTTTACCAGTATTTCTTATCACCTATTTGTTTGATGGTTAACAACAATGGAATCCAAGGTGTATACTTTGTAGCTTAGTAGTTCATTGATGAGAAATGTTCTTGTGATTGAAAAAAGGTAACTAGGTGTAAGTATCAACGGTAACTTCATCATCCTTTAGGGGTATGAATACAGTTAGCTGATAAGTCCCGAATGAGATGAAACTCACCACAGTATCGAGGTAAATATACAAGGATTCTACCCATGCATCAACGGAAGTCGGCCACTCCAGTCCAGTAAACTGAAAAACTGCCAGTTCTAAATATGAACTGCACAAGTTCGTATGGTGTTGGTGCTCGAAAACTCATTCATCTAGGTTGTAGTGTGAATGTGTAGAGCTGCAACTTAGTTGTTTTGGAGAAATGACTACCAGCCATTAGGTCGCAGGTTGGAGCCCCGTTCCGCCTACCGAGGTTTGGGAAGTCAGGTGGTATCATTAACCTTCACACAATAAATGTGTGGCTTATTGCCTACTGAACAGATGTGCACAAGATAGCTGATTGTGTTTTGTTTGTTTTTCGACTGACCGAACCTCAGTAGGTGGAGCAGCTTCGAACTCGTGACCCATAAGTTGAATGGCAACTCCAATGAGCCACAGTAGTATCTACCTGCAAAAAATAGTTGTGGCTGATAGCCTTGTACATAATACCTGTAACGTTTTGAGTCATATACACTACTTACTGATGATTTTGTGATACATAAGATTTCTGATCGTAAATTAAAAGCCACTATAGTATACATCGATTGAGATCATGTTTTTCTTCGTCAGAAAGCTAGTCCAATTGTGAAAATTCAGGTATACAACATTCCCTTCTTATGTTACTCGTCTATGCTTGAGAGATCTAACCGTTTTCATTTGACGATGGTTAACTTTTTTGTGTGTTTAATCACCATTGTCTATGTTACACAGTTCACACCCGTAGACAACAACACATAAGTCAGTCGTAGATCATGTGTATTAACATGTTGGGAATTGTAATTTGGTGGTGGAAGTGATCTCTAAACATTGAATTCTATGGTATAAATACAACTACCATATACTGTTCCACCTGTTTCTCTACTGTTCAGTATTTAAAGGGTCTGAGACTGGTTGGAAGAGGTGAAGCGGTGGTCAGTTATAGACCTTATATCATGAAGTAAAGCTTAGTTGTGTCGGATTAGCTTAGGAGAATAGAAAAATGTAATTATGTAATGCAGAGTAAATCTATCACAGAGTAAGAAAATGAACAAGGGATTATACCGGTTTACTTTCTCTTATGGAGATGAGTACATCGGCTGTACCATGCATCCTCTTGTAAAACGTACTCACGAATACTACCCAACCTGGTTGGAAAATGGAAAATGAAAATGTATCTTCAGTTCAATAACAGAACACCTTGTGAACTCAAGCCACGTGGTTTCTTTTGAGAACTCATTCAAAATTCCCCACAGGGTTCGATCAGACCACTCGAAAGGAGTAGAATCAAGGTATTTGGCTATAGCTAAAGCACTAGCCATTCAGAAGTTCAAACCGGCGTTATGTTGCCATAAAAGGTACGTCCAACTATTAGCTTTGCGATGGCCATCATAAGGCCTCACATTCCGATTCACTGCCCATCCCTACATAACATGCTGTGGGGAGTTGGATTAGGTTGGAATAGGGTTGAGGGTGACCAGATGAAGACGTGACACTAGCCAACGAAGTCCCTGACTGTTGGTGTGAGCTGTGTAGGTAGGTGTAGACTATGTTTCTGCGGTCTCCGATACCATAGGAGTCAGCGGTTAGGAAGTCTTGATAAAGTGGCTAGAAATGGGTCATAATGGCGTAGATGTATTCACTATTTGACATCTAAAATTTGAATATTTGCGCTAACTTTCATCTTTGAATTATTCATTCTGGTATACATCACTTTCTACTCTAATGTGTCATTCATTCCATCCACTTGTTTTTTCTATGGTGTCGTGAAGTTAATAACTTAAACGAATGCACTTTTCTGAGACGTTCTACGATGACTTCATCTCTCTATCGTCTATCATTCACATTTTGAGGTTATGTTGGAAGGCTGCAGTTTGCATAAAACATTCTCATTGATCTGAACATTTTTTAACATGCCATTTTCACAGCACGACTAGTAGTTCATTTTCTGCCCCCATTTGTAATGTAATTCGCTGATTGGTTAATCCTCACTTTTACTATGTGAATGTCAAATTGCGGACAAGGTTTTATCTGATGTGTATACATACTCACTTTCCCAAAGAAGGGCGACCTAAGTCTTTGCAAGAACTGGCGCGAAATCATACTCCTGTCCATCACAAGCAAGCAAAATATTAAGCCGCATCATCCTGGAGAGACTGAAAAGTGCACTGAGTTCAAATTAAGGCCGGAACAAGCTTGATTCAGGAAGAACAAATCATGAGCGGATCAAATTGCAACACTACGCTACGCATGATCATAAAACAGAGCATAGAATAGAAGTCAACTCTCTACCTCAACTTCATCGATTTTGAAAAGGCCTTTGACAGCGTCAACCGAGAAGTAATTTGGCAGGCAACTGCTTCAACACTATGGTTTTAGTGCCACAAACCTTTATCAACCTCATTCAACAGCAGTGGTATGCTATATGATGCTACATGCCAAGTGATTCACAATGGAAAGCTCAGTGATCCATTTGAAGTGAAGACAGGAGTAAGACAAGGCTGTCTACTATCACCTATGATCTCCCTGATTGTGGTCGGCTGGACTGTACTGGATCATGCATCAGACTGCGAGGAGCGAGAAGAGGGTTATACGCTGGCTGGACCGAGTAAAAGGCCCAGAAGTAGATTTGGACTTCGCCGATGATGATTTATATCTAATGTCTTGTCGCACAAACTCGAAGATCTACAGGCGAAAATTAACAAGTTGACAGAAGAGGCGAGGTGAGGCGAGGTGAGGCAGCGAAGACCGGACTTCCTTCAGGTGAACGTAAAGAAGATGGGGTGATGAAAATACCTGACCAACAACAACAACAACAACAATCACCATCAACGGGAGCATCGTTTCAACTACAGGTGGCACAGATGAAGACGTCAAAGCAGCCAGGATAGATAGGAAAGACAGCAAGACAGACCTTCATTAATCTAAAATCAGTGTGGAGATCTACTACACTGCACTCAATACAAAGCGTGAACAACATCCGAATTTTCAACACTAGTGTCAGTCAATTAACCCAGTACTTTTATGTGATAGTTGAGAGACTTGGCGACGCGTTACGAAAAACATTTCCAACAAACAGCAGACACACATCACATCAACAGCTGCCATCTACGCTCACTCCATACTGAAGATGATCAGATGGCGAGAATACTAAGAATAAGCAACAAGGAAGTCTGGCTGGCTGGCTGGTAGGCAAGGAACCCAACCGACCAAGAAGCCATCGCCCAACAAATATGAAGTAGAAGAAAGTGGAGATGGGTTGGACATGTACTGAGAGGACCGTTTGGGGATATCATGCGCTAGGCCAGACCAGATGGTCGAGTGAAGTCCGAAGGGGAAATGAGAAGTTGGGCGTACGAGGGTGACGTGGAGGAGATTGTGTGAGGAGGAAATGAAAGCTTGTGGGCAGTGGTGGAGCCTTGTTAAAAGAGAAGAGTGCAGAGAAGTGAGTGAAATGGTGACGTGCTACTGAAGTCCTATGTTCCGCTAGGATCTCAAGGGACAAATAATATGACAGTAATAGCAATACATACTCACGTGTCTTTGGGTTTACCGATCAGGGGAGCTTTTTACAGGTCACCCTGGCAATAACTGGAATATCCAATCAGACTTTCCTGTGTCATGGAAATCTGAGTTTCCCACGAAAATAAAGAAACCTAATTTGTAATTTCGACCGTTGTTATGATGGCCTTTAAAGTTGGCCATTGATTGCTATTCTTTGAGCAATAAACTCTCCTATCCAGCTTCGGTCTTCTTCTCTATTCATCTCGGGTTGTAGTCGGTGGTTTTTGCGTATAAAGTCATTTATATAATATCCGTTCAGAATATGTAACAAGGTTGCATAAATGATTGCAGGACCTGGGCATTGAATAATGTGACACGCACACATGAACTGCGAGTTGAGATTCAGAAAGTGTTTCTTTTTATCAGAAATTGAAGGATAAGAACTTACAGCACCATTGAAAAAAGATTATCATCTCAACACTTCACTATGCTATCCTTTTCGGGAAATTAAACTTCTCACTACTTATATTGTGTTGATTTCCTTTTTTCGTATTATCTTTATTACAGGTGGTTCTGGTGATATATCCAATCGACAGCGTCATATTATGATATTTTGTAAACGATGCTATGAAACTGTACGAGTTGCAGAGTTTCTCCGTGAACGTGGTCATTCTACTGTTGCATTAACTGGGCGTATGAAACAAGCTGAACGTAAAGAGTCCTTGAATAAATTCATTTCAGGTGAAGTACAAGTTTTGGTGGCTACAGACGTTGCTAGTCGGTAAGTTCATTTAGATTTGTTGTTGTATCAGTGCAAGATTGTATAACGAAATCCTGTAAGTTGATTTTTCTTGAATGAACAACTAGACTGACTGAGGTAAAGAAATCGAGAGAGAGAGGGAGAGAGAATTGGTTTATTGCCTTAAACACTCGAGTTTCAAACAATCGATCCTGAATTTCAATCCGGCTCCACCTACTTCAACCGAAACAGACGTTAGTTTTATACGCATGCATAAAATAAGTGTCACTCATACCCTTTTGCACAAACCTTGGGTCGCACTCTGGCTGTTCACCTAGTTGGATACCTACAACCCTAATATTTATTAATCTCCACTATATTTGACTTGTGATGACCTTCAAAGCTCAACTGGATGGATGGATATATTATGTTTCGAAAATGCTGTGTTATGGCCACTAACGATGCACGGATGTCAAGTGTCAGACGCCAACGTTCAAGAAATTCCTAGTTGATCCCCGACCCGACTAATTAGTGGAGAAGACACTACAGACGTGTAGTAACATGTATCGGGGTCGATAGACCGAAGACTCCAAATCGAAGGAAAATACAGCTAATATTATAGATGACTTGCTTCCAGATGGATATCACGAAGCTCTAATGACAAGCCGTGACCTGTGGGGTCAACTAGTCGGAAGTGAAGTGGATGCTAACTGAAGACCTTGGGTGACAGTCGCGCTACATCGTGAATTAACAGAAGTTAGAAACTGTGAACCACTGAAAACCGACCCATTGGCTGAATGGTCAACGCGTTCACCGTGAAACTTGAAGGTTCTGAGTTCGATCCCTATCCGGGTGGTGGGTGCGTACTGCGTAGGAGTTCCATACAAGGACGAAACAGCTGTCCAGTGCTCCCAGATTCCTGATGGTCCCCCAACCGATGACAGTCCATGATGAATACTAACTGTAATATACAGATAATTTACTGTTTAAAATAACGCTATTGATTGGCTGATTCACTGTGTCTGTCTATGTAACTATGCACGTGATAACCTAAAGTATATTTTGATTGGTCACTCTCCAGACTAGGCTTTTCTCTCTATCCCCACATCAGGATATCAAAACAAACAGTTTGTGGTCAATTGACTAAGTTTGTCATGCCTTCGATTATAACGAAACAGGTTCAACACTTGCAAGTGAAACTTGAGAACAGCCTAATTGATACTACTTCAATTGTTGCAATCCATATAACCGTGCTTGGAAAATAACCTTCATATTTTAATCTTGATAAACTGGAAAAAGATAGTAAAATAATAAAAGGTTTCTTTCTACTCTCTCTTGATGTAAGTTATTAGTTGGAAGACCAATTGAATGTGTTCAACTCCTGGTGAAAGGAGCAAGAAGATAGGTATGAAGGAAGGAATGTTTATTGTCAACAAAGTGTGGGACGCTAAAATCGTCATTTGCAAAATGTGCTTCATTTCCTCTTCTGCTTCTTTCTTGATTTGTTCTTCACACGCCTTGGTTGTCTCTTGAGTTTCTCTTCGTGGAATCCTTACCCATTGCTAGTAATTCCCTATGATTTCTGCCACCCTTTCAACATATACTACTTATATCCATCCTTATCAGCAACGCCCACTACACTGGTTCATTGTGTCGGTCACAATGTTCAACATTAAATCATATTCCTTCATTCAAATTCAAATCATATCATGAGGTTCACAGTTAATGTTATTGGCCTCAATCCATTTACTTTTCATGTGTTTTCTCAAGTTTAACATCTTCATTATTCTATATATCTGGATAAAGGAAAAGAGGTGAAATTTGCAGAATAAAATGATGATATCATCATTTTATTTCACGAATACTCATCAGCTGCGGTATACAGCAGTTAAAATGAAACAGGATGAAATCATAGTTGCCAAGCGAGTGAGAGACTAACCTAACTCACTTTCTTTATCCACAGGTCAAGTTGAAAGCAATGCTTATGAATCACTTCCACGTTCATTATTATTATTATTATTATTATTATTATTATTATTATTATTTTGAAAGGACTCGAGGTTTGAACCTGATGTCCTATGACTACCAGGTGTTTGGAATGTGAACTTCCTTTCAAGCATAGATTCCTAAGGAAATGCTCATCCAAAGGAATCCATCCCCTTCTCTCATTCCTTCCAATGCACTTGCTACCCCAAATACATGTAAATTGATGAATCCATTGGAAGGTGACATGAACAGAGAAATAATCCAATTTTGACTGATTCAGCGAACATGTGGTATTGTATTACTGATCGAAATTTAACTTCAGGGGATTTCCTCAATGCTCCTCTGAATCTTGTGTCTATTCTCTTGGATATTATGTCTCTTTTGAATGTAAGGTATATCGTTATTATTATTAGTCCCTTGGGTTCGTAATGAAACATAGGGCTTCAGTAGCACGTCTCCAGTGAACTCTCTTCTCGGGAATCTTTTGAACCTGGCTCTACGACAGCCCAGAAGCTCTCATTTCCTCCTCGCACCATCTCCTCCATGTCACCCTCGGACGTCCAACTCGTCGCTTCCCATGGGGATTCCACTCGAGGGCCTGACGCGTGATGTCCCCGAATGATCTCAATGTATATCCAATCCATCCCCACTTCCTTCTGCATATTTGTTGCGTGATAAGTTCTTGGTTGGTTCGTTCCCAGAGCTCCTTGTTGCTTATTCTTACTATTCTGGCCATCTGATCTTCAGTAGCGGGTGTAAGCAGTTGTTGATGAATGTCTGTAGTTTATTGGAAATCCCTTTCGTAACGCGCCAAGTCTCTCAACCATACAGAAGCACTGACTTGACGTTGGTGTTGAAAATCCAGATGTTGTTCCACATGCTGAGTGCAGGAGTTCTCCACACTGGTTTCAGGCTAGTGAATGCCTGTCTTGCTCTTCCAATCCTGGCTGGCTTTGACATCCTCGTCTGTGCCACCTGTAGTTGAAACAGTGCTTCTTAGGTAGGTGAAGGAAGTTACTTCCTTTAAGTTTCTCCCATTGATGGTGATTGGTTCTTGTTGTTGTTGGAGTTGTTGGTGGTGGTGCGGTATCTTCATCACCTCTGTCTTCTCTATATTCGCTTGAAGTCCTGTCTTCGCTGCCCTGCTTCTTCTGCCAACTTGTTAGTTTTCGCCTGTAGTTCTTCAAGTTTGTGTGACATCAGACACAAGTCATCATGGGCGAAATCCAGATCTTCTAGGTTCTTTTCCGCAGTCCGGTGTATGCCCATCTTCTCACTCCCCACTGTTTGCTGCATGATCCAGTCCAGTCGACCACAATCAGGAATATCATGGGTGATAGTAGGCAACCTTGTTTCACTCCTTCCTATCTTCACTTCAAAAACGTCACTGAGCTTCCCATTGTGAATTACTTGGCTGGCATGTGGCGTCTTCATATAGTTGTTGAATGAGGTGGATAAAGGTTTGTGGTATTCCGTAGTACTGAAGCAGTTTCCAAATTACCTCTCGGTCGACGCTGTCAAAGGCCTTCCTTCTCAGAGTCGATAAAGTTGAGGTGTAGAGTTGACTGCCATTCTATACTCTGTTTTATGAAGATGCGAAGCGTTGCAATTTGGTCTGCACATGATTTGTACTTCCTGAAGCCAGCCAGCCTGTTCGGGTCATAGTTTTGAATCCAGCGCATCCTTTAGCCTGTCCAGGATGATGCAGCTTAATATTTTACTTGGGGTGGACAGGAGAGTGATTCCTCGCCAGTTCTTGCAAACACTGAGGTCTCCCTTCTCGAGAGTTTGACAAGGTAGCCCTTCTTCCAATCGCCAGGTACCTTCCCTTCCTTTCAGACCTTCTGCAATAGTGGTGTGAGCTTGTCCGCTGTTGTCTCTGCGTCTGTCTTCTGTACTTCTGGTGGGATCTCATCTGGTCCTGCTGCTTTCCCACATTTCAGCAGCCTTATGGTGTTCAGGACTGCCACTTTTGTTGGAGGATTTATGTTCACTTGTAGTTCAGCAGTCTTAGGTGGCATTTGTGGACGAAGTGCAGGTGGTGGTGGTGGTCGATTCAAGAGCTTCTTGAGGTGGTCTGTCTATATTGTTTCCTTTGTTTCTCTCCTTTCCTAATTAAATTTTCGTCATCATCTTTTATTGGCTTCGTCTGCATTGATCTCTTCCCAGATAGCAACCTGGTTATTTGATATAATGTCGTCAGGTCTCTCTTACCTGCAGCCTGTTCTGCTTCACCTGCCAGTGTTTCGTAGAAGTGTCTTTTGTCTTTCCGTGCACTCTTCTTCACTTCTTTGTCCAGTGTTTTATACATTGTGCTCAGTTCCTCTTCTCGTTGTTCATCGTTGCACTGGTTCATCTTCTGCCTCACCATCCTCCTCTCCTCTATCAGCTTCCATATATCCGTCGACATCCATTCCTCATCTTCTTTCTTCTTCCCTCCTAATACGGTTATGCAGGTTTCTTTCCACATCCCTTTCAAAGACTTCCAGTGTCCTTCCATACAGGTTTCTTCAGGGATGTTCCTCGAAATCTCCCATTTTATCTTGGTGGCTGATGTGAAGATTTTCTTTGTAGTTTCTTCCTTCAGTTTCCGAGCTTTGTACTTGAACTGTGGTCTATCACCAGCTTCTTTGAAGGCTTTTAACTTGATTTGGAAGCCTCCTTGCACTAGATAGTGAGTGGCCCGAACCACTTACATCTGCTCCTCTTCCTGACCTTGTGTCAAGTAGGCTGACTGTGTCTCCATTTTCTTGAGATTGAGATAAGGTCGATCTGACTTTTAGTGTGTCCATCTGGTGAAATCCATGTCGCTTTGTGGATGTCCTTGTGCCTGAACACACTGCCTCCAATCACCAAATCGTTGAATGCACAGAATTCTGCAAACAATTCTCCATTCTCGTTCATCAACTCACCGGGCGCTTCTCGACCCATGGTTAGTTCTCTACCTGTGTTGTCCCCTCCCGGTTTGGCGTTCATTTCGCCCATTAGAGTGGATTGTCGCCAACTAAGGTCTTGTCCAGTGTTGATTGAAGTTGTCTGTAGAATTCCTCCTTCTTTTCTTCATCTGCATTATTTGTAGGTGTATAGCATTGTATGATTGTGACCTTCCTTCCTTTTGAGTTGAATCTTGCTGTCATGATCCTGGAGGAGATTGGTTCCCACTGCATGAGAGAGAGCCTTCAGTGCTGTTGGGGACATCATGATAGCCACTCCAAATCTCAGTGTGCTCGTGGTTGGCGTCTGGGTGACCGGAGTAGATTATTGATTCTCCAGTTGACAGTTTGGAGAGTCCACTCCCATCCCACCTGCTTTCACAAATTCCAAGCACTTCAATGTGATGCCTTCTCATCTTTTTGCAATCTGGGCTGCCTTGTTGCGTTCAAACCTGGTGCGGACATTCCATGTCCTCACGTTTACTTTCGTTTTCATCGAGGGAGAGAAGACACATCGGCCAATTGGCTTCCCGAAGCCTTTCACCAACTGGCGTCATTTCTTCTCTCCGATTTTAGCGAGGAGTAATTTTGTTATTATTTTTTATATTTCGTTTGTGCTTTGAAGTTTCTTTAGCAGTTGGATTTGTTTTACGGGGTAGGGTTGCTAGCCCTTTGCCCAACCTTCCCTCTTTATGTGGGCTTAGGACCGGCTAGTAACTAGTGAACTAGTTAACCAGGTGAGGTTAAATGTCCTTGCCGACTGACTCACGATAAGTCGACATCCCCGGCGGGACACGAACCCGCAGCCTCGGGAATAGAAGGTGTATAGACACTTTATTTGCAACAGTTGGGTGTTTATTTCTCTTGACCTGTTCTTTTCCACACTTCATAATAAATCTCTCCGGATATCTACTTTCTCGAAGACACTTCTCAATAATGTTGTCTAGTACTTCCTCTAACTTCTCCGTAGGACACAATTTTTTAACTTTGTTGTAAAGTGTTATGACTAGCCCATGCTTATAGCTGTGAGAAGAGAAACTGTTATGATTAAGGTGTTATCCACCCGTGTATCTTTTCAATCTTACCCTCAATTGTTCTTCTCACGTTGAGGTCCAGAAAACTGAACTTGTTTTCATATCAAACAACTCACTTACATGTTTCATACCATTACAAGTCATGATTTATACATGCGCTGACATGAGAAGCTGATTGGAGAAGTTCAATCTCATACAAGAAATCTGATTGGTTCATTTATGGCTTCACTTTCTGAGAGTTTTGTAATTACATATTCATCATGTATTTGCCGAGTAAAAGTTGTCGTTGTTATTGCAGTTACGGGCTGCCAGTTAGTCGTAAAAGTATTTGGTTGAGGTGTTTATTGAGTCTCAGTATCAATATACCCACGCACGCAACCCCACTTGGTCACAACAATTCATTAGTATATTTGTAAATAAAGAAGTCATATATTATGTCGTCATAATGACGTCATTAGTGTCGGTGTGATCTAGTTAGTGAGGAAGTTTAAATGTGTCTTTTAAACTATGGATCGTCAACTTATTCTGGATAGGGTCTAAAGATTTTTGGTAACCATTTCACCAGCTTCTGACATGATGAATTCACATTATTGACATTATAAACCTCAATGGTCCATGGAATTTATGAATTTTGGGCAAACTATACATGAAATGGGAAAAGTGAACCTCATTTTAGTTTGAGAGTTCATTATATGTTGTATTATCAATCAACTTCTTCTTTAGAAAGTCTCTAAAATGTTTATTTACTTTGTTTTGAAATGTCACAACCGACATGCATTTTTTTAGTACCATTTCAACTAGAATCTTATCGAAAAACACAGAGAATGGTGAACATATTCTATTCACATAATCATTTTTGTTCATTATGACAACAATGATATCTGCGTTCAACTTTTAATTTATCAAGGGATCTAAATGTATGATATTTATTCGATATCTACTTGTTTGTTGTCTATTCATCTTTCTTTTCATCGGCTAAATACCTTGTTAATTCCCGTCTCTCTTTCTCCCTCTCCCTCCCTCTGAAAGTAGACTGTTCGGTTGAATCGATATAGCAGCATCGTGCTGAGGTAGGTGAAATGGAATCTAAATTTCGAGACCTATTACTTGGGAACCGGATGTTTTAATCAATGAGTTATGTCTGTGATAGGATTCATTTAGTCTATCATTTTGTCTACGGGTTGACTTTTACCAACTTGTGCCATCTGTGGCGCCACCGCAATATCCGATTATCGATTAAGGATCGAGTGTACTGTACTGAAGTCCTCTCTGTTCTACTGTATGGCTGTAAAACATGACCATTGGAGGTGGAAGACATGAGAAGGCTTCAGGTGTTTCACCACCATTGCCTTCGTGGTATAGGTCGGGCGTAGAGTTTTAGAGAGAAGACGTAAGTCAGTTGACGGTGTTGTGAACTTTCATCGACTCAGGTGGTCAGGACACGTGTTACGTATGTCTAGTCACCGTCTGCCTCGTCACACAATGTTGGTTGAAGTAGGTCCAGGCTGGAAAAAGGCTCGAGGTGGCCAGACTAAAACGTTGCACCAATGTATGAAGTCTCTGACTGTTGGTTTGAGCCATGTAGGACGATGCAGACTAGGTGGTTGGGGTCCATGGGACAAGAGGAACGAGTGTTTGGAGGCTGTAGGTGATATGGCTGAGAATCGATGTTAGCGGCGCAGATGTATACACACATTTTCCTCATTTTAACCGCTATACTTAATCTCATTATCTTCTCATTCTTCCTTCTTCATCTTCTGTTTTATTACTTGATGTGCTGATATATGACAACATGGACCATTACGCAATAACACCTGGTCTTATGTTGATCTTGATGATAATGAATATCTAAGATAGCCGTGGTTTAGCAGACGAGTATTGATACTGAATGGTGATTAAAGATGAAATGAAAATTTGGGCTGCAATGTACTTCGAACTAGTTATGTCGCGTAGCTTGGTATGTAGAGCATCAGGTCGAAAACCCGGTGGGTCGCTGGTTCGAATCCCGTCGCGACCCCAATTTTCACTTTACCTTTGACCATCGTATAGTAACAATTCATTTAGTCATTAGTTGTGCAAGTTTCCTCTCTACTTTTTTTTAGGGGGTTAGATATTTCTCATGTTGACTTTGTGATCAACTACAGTGTACCATTATCTGAAAAGACTTACAGACATCGTGTAGGCAGAACTGCACGCGCTGGTCAGACTGGAGTAGCGTTAACCTTAGTGACACGCGATATGGCACCAGTTTTTCTAGAAGTGGAAGCATCTCTACTACCTTATCTCCCAAAATCCAACGGGAAAGATGATAATGCTGTTGGAATACTTCGTTGGCCAATCGCCTTACCTGATCTACACGGTCGAAATGGTATGTTAGTTCGTCGGCGTCTGGCAGATGTCGCTTGGTCCAGGGCTTCAAAGGTAACTCTCTTCATTTTTACCCATCACTTAAGCAATTTATACTCAGTCTTATACCCTTTCAAATTAGAGGAAATTGTTTTGTAAATGTTTTCCTCGTTAGTTTACTTTGTAGCCCGAATAAGTTTATTACTAAAAATTCTGTCGCATGTAAATCAAATGCCACTAAAATTTACGTCATTGTCTTATGTCGGCTGACAAACGGTTATTGACACCTGATCCTTGATGCACACTTACTACTCAAAGGTTCAGGTGAAGGGAGAAAACCTGTCACTGATCACACTAGAAATGAGATCGAAAATGTGAGTTGCTCTGAGCGTCACTTTATGAACTACTGAAATAACCAATAGGGTTTCTCTATTTCTAATGGAAAAGGTTATAAAATAAGAAGGTATTTGATTGGTTATTTTAGTAGTTGCTAGGACAACCTTTAAAATCTCTGGGAGATAAGATTTTAAGAGAATTGAACAGTTAGAGTGGAAAAAGAAACAGAATTTGATACTCCCTACAAATAGTTACGCTAGTCCAAAACTTCTTGATTGATATAGGGAAATATGATAACGTAGTTCGGGGTTTGTGGGGATTTTATTGTTTAGGTTGTATTGAGGGAAAACCTAAGAGTACTTGACGGCTGTTTCGTATCCAGTTTAGAATTCCTCAGCGGTACTCACCCGCGATCCCACCCGTGAAGTTGGCCAATCGGAAGTGAAGGAAATGCTAACTGAAAGACCTTGATGGATAGTTGCGCTACTTTGCGAATTGATAGAAGTAGGAAACTGTATACCATTGAACTCCGAACCAGTGATTGGACGAAGTCATCATGAAAACTGGAAGGTTTTGAGTTGGATGCATGGCGGGGCGGGTCGAAATCGTGGCTGTGTACTGCTAGGGAGTTTCTTCCTAAGACGAAACAGTTGTCCGGGTCTTCAAGTGATGTCATTCCATGATGAATACACCTTTGGAAAATTTGAATAATAGGCAGAAAAATAAGTCTTTTTTGACTTTTTTGCAACCTCGTAGATGTATTATATCATTATTAAAACACAAACATGGTACAGCAAGGACACCACACAGAATAATATAACACCATTATAAAGATATAAAGCGAAGATAAGTGGGTAAGTTAAAAAGATTAGAAAGATAGTCCAATAAGGTACATTCAGAAGAAAACATTCACTGCTTTTTAGCAGCGGAAGATAGTAGGGAGCTACAGCGTGACCGCCACTGGTTTTGGTTCCAAGCCATATATGATAACATTTCAAGCCATTGAGTTGCGTGATCTTTCGGACCTCACCCAAACAGTCGTGATGCATCAACAGATGCTAAGTCGATGCAACTATCCTTCATCCCATGGCGCCATGTCATACACTGACCACCACCACCACTCCACTTCTTCAATCCATTACCAGGGTTAGCAAACAATGAACTACATGGAAGCTGTTGCGACGACATACGTAACACATGTTCAAGCCATCGAAACTGATGTTTCTAGATGAATCCATTCATTGAATGATGGTATCCACCATGACCAAATACACTGTCGTACCTCAGGATTACTCACATGGTGCTGCTACTAAATACGAGCAATCCTACGGAGAAAATGATGACCTGATCTCAGTTTGTAGGGGCCAGGTTTCACAAGAGTACAGCAGATCCGCTTACACTGGAGCGTTGTAAACCCAACCTTTTACGGTCAGACTAACGTCACAACGGCCCCGAAGGTGACACAAATTAACGTATACCACTCTGGCTTTCAATATGCGGTTGGAAATTTCATCACTCACACCTGCACTAACACTCACACAACTACCTAGATACACAACGTTTTCGACTACTTCCAATAGCTCACCACCGTGGGTTAGCGCAGGCACAGTCTTCTGCCAATCTTGCAAGATTACTTTGAACTTTAATGGTGCAAAGCATAATACAATACTTACAGACACCAATCACTAACTGATTGCCTGCGACTTGAGCAGCCTTTGTGTTAGTCATCCCACTGTAAGACGATATAGTCCGCATATTCAAGGTTAAATAGGTGTTCTCCAGGTAGTAGTTCTATAACACCATCGCGTATCTCGTAGAAACAGCTTCTTTATAGAGCCAAATATGTACAAGTTATCACTTGTTTAGACAGGAAATAGAAACAAATCATATTACTTTATTCACATAATCGCATATCAACTTTAAAGTGAATTAGCTATTCTTGATAGTCAATCAACTGATGGTAGAATAAAATTCTATCAACTAATTGTGTATACGACTTACTCCTAATGGATCTTAATGGACAGAGGGAATCAACGTAAAACCTTGCATATAATTACAGCGGTTCAAGTTGCCTTACTTTACAGTAGTATACAAAGAGCAAGTGAATCAACAAAGACTCATATCAAAGTAGATAAAGTTGTGTTAGTGAATAAGCAATTTGAAGATAAGAAGATTAGTATGGATATTGAAACTTTAGAAGACGTTAAAGAGTGAATACACCTATGTCACTGTAAATAACTTTTAGCCATATCAGCAAGTGTTCTCAACCACTGATTTCTGTCGTCTCGGTGACCGTAGCTATTCAGCCATATCTCCCCAAATGGCTCAAATCAATAGTCAGGGACTTTATGGACTGATGTCACATGGTGATCTGGTCACCCTGAATCCTCTTCCAACCTTATCCAAATTGCCTTTGCATGACACGCCGAGGTAGGCGATGGCTATGCATGCGCAGTACATGTCCAAGTCATCTCAGTCGATTTGCTTGTCTTGTCTTGTATCCTTCTCCTGACCTCAATATTGCTCACATGGTGATTCCACCAAACACAGATGATGCTATAAAGACACCTATGATCGAAAACCTATTGCCACTTCACGTCTTCTACTTACAACGGCCATGTCCCACAGTCGTATAACAGGACAGAAGGGACTGCAGCGGAGTATGCTCGTCCTTTAATGCATAGTCAGTCACCATCAAAGATGATGCAAGTTGGCAGATGCCAAACGGATTTTCGGTATCGGAGCTGGGATTTTGACAGCAACCATCCGCGCTGATACAGCTGCCCAGGTAAGTGAAGACGTTGACGCATTCCACCAATTTACTCTACATCCTTAAAGTAGGAGTAGTAGCGGACCAGTCCTAAAGCTTCCTCTTTGATTTAACAGGTGCAAGGGAAACACAATGCAAGCATACTCAGATTTCTGTTCAACGCGTTTTGAAGACCTCATATTTTGTCAGTATCTGCACACTTAAACTCAGCCAGATGGCCTCCAATGACCAGACCAACCCCTTTGAAGTCAGATGTACCTAAGGTTATGTCCATTGGTACGTGTGCATCGAAGCTGAACAGGAAAGGTGACAGTAGACACTCCTGATGGACACCAGTAGTTGTCTTCAGAAGTGACGACAACTCTCTATAGACCCTTACATGGCTGTGTGAGATCGAGTAGAGAGCTCTGATAAGGATTATATACTTGCTCAATACTCCGTTCACAGTCAGTCACTGCCACAACACCTCATGGTTGACGGAGTCAAGTGCCACCTTCAGGTCGAGAAACACGGCAAGTATCGTCCGTTGGCCAGTAAGTATGGCTGTGTTACAGAATTTGTGGGAGGATGAAAGTCTGGTTGGTGCATCATCATTCAGGTCTGAAACCTATCTGGTTTTCTTGAGATCCCGTTAGGCATTGGATAACTATGGACGCTAGGATGTTGGACAGAATATTAGTCAGACTAATTCCCATATGGTTGTCACGGGAAGATTTCTTTCCCTTCCTATAAACTGGAAAGATGAGTGAAGTAGACCAGTGTGATGGCATTACCTTTAATTTTATATACTACTTAGTACCTCCATCAGCAGCAATTTCCTGCCTTCTTCCTTGAAAACAGGTGGTAAACTGTCAGGTTTTGTTGCTTTCATCGTTTCTGTTTCGATACGGCATTCTCAGCTTCAAGCAGCCTTGGAAGACTGATATCTACGTCTTATTCAGACTCAGCCTGGATGTTGGTAAAATTAAACCTTGCTGTGGTCCAGTTAAACTGTGCTCCAAAGTGTTCGACCCAACGTTCTAGCTCCCTGTTCTTAGACGCTATCAGCGTCCCATGCTTTTGGGTGTTGATTTCGCCAACCATCATTTCCTTCTTGCCGGCATCTTTAATAAACCTAAATAGTGTCTGGGTTTTACTCAACACTGACGCTTCTCTATCTCTCTCGCTTCCACCCCCTACCACTGCTAGCGATCGATGCGAAGATTCTTGATGAATTTACATTTAAGTTACTTTCGCTCTCCGTCCTGGTCAGACCCAGCTGGAATGAGTCTTCTCACATTAACCAATTCGGATGACGTTGCGGAAATCCAATGACGTTTGCTAACTTTCGAATGTAGGTTACCAACAGCTTTTTCCACAGCAGACCTAATATCGCACCAGGTTTCCCCAGGATTAGCGTTGCTTTGACGTACGGACAAATGCTTGACTAACTCCTCTCTGTTTGATTACTTGGCATCTTAGCTTCCAATCGACTACAGACGGGCCTTATTATCTCCTGCTTCCTGTAACCAGTAAGGCTCAGATGTGCACGACTCCATACTAGAGCATGATCAGAGTTCAAACTGATACTCTTGAAAGAGCGATGTTTTGTGGTAATACGATCTATCTATGTCTATTTTTGTTTTGATATTGGCGGATGCCATATGAGATAGTATGTCTGCTTATGCATACAGTTGGTGCTGGCTAAAAACAATGGATTGTGAGAAAAAACTGCAACAGACGGTCACCATCGTTTATTTGTTGGCGCAGGATTCCTTAGCTACCTCCTAGATGCCTCTCCGATTGGCTCAGCTTCCCTACTTGTGTGTTGAGGTCGCCTGCTATTATTATAACTTCATCTGAACGTTTTGTTTTCTGTAGAAAAGTTGACAGGTTTTGATAGAATTCATCCTTTGCATCATCCGAACTGGAGTTCGTGGGCGCGTACATGAATCTTGCGAATAAGCATCGCTTAGTCTCACTATCCTCCCTAGTTCTTACAGATCCATTCAGTCGAAAAGCATACAGATGGTTGTCGTATGGTATCCAATAGGTCTGGAAACTGAATCTGTTCGTACAAGTCAACGATCGATCGCCTTTCAACTAGAATGTTACCCCTCAAAACATTCCCTGTCTGATATAGCGTCTCCTCTGCGCATTATTTTCAGGGTCTTAACGTTGATAGGGTTTATGAATCGATTAGTTAAGAGATTGAAAATTAGGTGAAAAAAACCCCCACAATCCAGTAAAACTGATACCCTAACCCCAATTTGAACGAATGATAGTTAACATAGAAGAAAAAAATCGAATTAATGGTTGGTAGGGTACAAAATGGAGTAACTTTCGATTAGCTTTTTATTAAAATCACTATGTTAAGTTCACCCTAGAGATGGTTTCTATCTAATTCGAAAGTATAAAAGGTCAACTACGAACGGAGTATGACATAGAGAACACTAATCCACCTAAATTATCCTCCTGAGTTCAGTCAGCATCAAAATTCTACCTGGTATTCCTACTTACTAGACCAGTTTGCCACATTTATCGCCACAAAATCGAATTAATATAGCCAAATAATATAGAAGTAGGCGAAGAGAGTATACGATGAATAACGAAGTATGATTTAACAGACAAGATGGAGATTAAACGTGAATGCATTTGCACCACTGCGATAAATTTCAAGCCGTATCACCTAGAGCCTCAAATCATCCTTCCTAGTTGTTATGACAACCTCAACTGGAAGTCTACATCTCCAAGCACATCTGAAACCAACGTCCAAAGACTTCATGAACTTCGGCTAACACTGTTTGTTGGGATAATGCGTTCATTAGAGATTTTTAACCATCTCAGCCTATGGTGGTTCACAACTGACTACGCCTAACCTCTGGGTTATTAACGCGGTTGTTACACCACACGAGTAATTCTACAAAGATAATGATGGTTGGATATCTGCAGCCTTCCCACCTTCATCGTCATAAAGCTGGAGAGAGTGAACTTCTGTATATTAAACTCGGCTATTAATGGGGAATGAGATACCTTATTCCTGCCGCAGGTGGTGTAAGCTAGGGGGACCCAATAGAGACTTTTATTATCTGTACTGAGATTTCGTCGATCTTTGGCCTATTCAGTCTGATCTGACTTCTCAAATAAGTGAAATGGTCACTACACCCAACCACTTAACTTCTCTATCCTTAGATAAAGTGTTGAAGCAACAGTTTACATCTGGGTGGTGAGTTATATATCTTCAACATGACATCAACTATTTTAGGAAAGATAAATGAAATTTTAATTGATACTCGTTGTTTTCCGTTGTAATTCTTGATCTAATTGTTTGACGTCTTTTGGAATATGACTTCCTATACGGATGCGTCGATATTATCTGATTACTCATTATGTTGTAATTTTCTTGATGATGACTTGGCGAGGAATGCGGTATAAACATTTCGTTCTATTTAGGACTCGTCAGCTGCATGTGCATGCATACTGACACTTGAACCTATCGTCAAAGCGTTATCCACTAGGATAAAGAGCCACCTCTTGTGCAATGGGTTCCAGTTTCTATTAGGTATTGGTACTTGTGATTTCCTGTTGTTATTTAGGATTCCGATACCAGCCACTATGAAGCAAATTACAGGATAAATGGAAGTTAATTTGGAGGTTTGTGAAGATTTATTTATGGATTTCAGGTTGGTACTCATCATGGAATGATATCAGTTGAAGAAACATTTGGAATGTGGGAGGACTAGACATCTGTTTCGTCCTAGTTAGGGAATCTTCTGCAATGTGCATCCATGACCCTAACGGAGATCGAACCCAGAAGGTTCATCCCATGGCCAGCACGTTAGTATTCAGTGGTCTATATTCCCTACTTCTGTAAGGTCACGATATAGTACAACCTTCATCCAATACTGTCATTGAGGTTAGTTAATATTATATTCCACACTTTGTTGTTTCTTGCCTCCTTAGACTATTCGAGCTCAAATTGAAAGTCAAAGACACATTGACAACGATCCAATTGATTTAGATTTACAAATGAATGAAGAAATGATTGAAGCCTATGCTAATTCCGATGATGAACAAGATGAAGACGATAATAAAGTAAGAATAATGATGACAGTGGACAAGACTCATCATTATCTGATGATTTATTAGAGAACGAAGAAAAACAATACCAACCTGTTCGTAAAATGATTAAAACTTCAAACAATCTGCAATTGAAGACATCTGGTGAAGCTGGAATAACTGCTGCACGTCGAGCTTGGAAGTGTTTAATACAACTTAATAAACTTCAACAGAAAGAAAAAGCCTATATGGAAGAAGTGAAACGTGTTAATAAATCAGTTGGTTGGGGTGTTACAACTACAAATAAACACAAAGAAGAAGCTGAAGAAAGTGAGAACAGTGATGATTCAATGGAATATATCAACACTATGCATGATGATGAAATGGCTAATGATCAGGATGATGAGGATGATGAAATTGTCCATTATGAACAACCAATCAAGATGAAGTATACAAAACTTCAAGCATCTAAAAAAGCAAACCAAGCTAAACAGAATAAAAAACGATTTGGATAACTATATCTTTCTTTTGTCTTATGTATGTTGTATTTATCTATTATTGATTTTATTTTGTAAATAATTTCAGTGTACAAACAGTGGTTTTTTGTTTCATCCACCCATCCATCTGGATCAACCTAGGACCAGACATTACTGTGTAACGGTCCCAGTTGCTACACCTCATATCAGTACATCAAGTAAAAAGGCAGTGAGCCACAAGGTGAAGATAAGAGAATGCAGTCAAAAGGAATATAAAGTACGAGAAGAGAGAAACGAAGAACGAGAAAATGGTGAGATTCGGTATAGCGTCGTTATGTATGTATACACCTGCGCCACTGACATCATTTCTCAGTCATATCACCCATAGTCTCCAACCACTGGTTCATCTTGTCCCACGGACCCCAATCACCTAGTCCGCATCACCCAATATGGCTCAAACCAACAGTCAGAGACTTCATACATTGGTGCAACGTTTTAGTCTGGCCACCTCGAGCCTTTTTCCAGCCTGGACCTACTTCAACCAACATTGTGTGACGAGGCAGACGGTGGTTGAGCATACGTAACACGTGTCCCGACCATCTCAGTCAATGAAGATTCACAACAACCTCGTCAACTGACTTACCCCGTCTCTCTAAAATTCTACTCCTGATTTCTGCGTTACTGATATGGTGACACAACGGAATACAGCCTATACTACTAAGGCAAAGGTGGTCAAACACCTAAAGCCTTCTCATGTCTTCCACCTTCAGTGGCCATGTTTCACAGCCACACAGTAGAACAGAGCGGACTGATGCACAATACATTCGACCTTTAATAGACAATCGGATATAACGGCGCGCCACAGATGGAGTAAGTTGGCGAAAGCCAATCGAGCCTTTTGTATCCGTGCAGAGACTTCACCGGCCACTGAGCCAGCCACTAGGGCTGATCCTACTTCCCAGGTAGGTGAAGTAGTCAACACACTCAACCACTTCACTCTCTATTGCCAGCCGTGGTTGAAGTAGGTCCAGGCTGGAAAAAGGCTCGAGGTGGCCAGACTAAAACATGGCACCAGTGTATGAAGTCTCTGACTGTTGGTTTGAGCCATATTGGGTGATACGGACTAGGTGACTGGGGTCAGGGGGACAAGATGAACCAGTGGTTGGAGACTGTGGGTGATATGGCTGAGGACCGATGTCAGTGGCATAGATGTATACACATATTATCCTCATCTTAACGATGCTATACCGAATCTCACCACTTTCTCATTCCTCCTCTTTTTTACTACTTTCTACTTCTTTTGACTGGTCTTCTTTTCTCTTCTTCCATTTTATTGCCTTCTTTACTTGATGTGCTGATATGAGGTGTAGCAGCATGGACCATCATGCAGTAATACCTAGTCCAATGTTGATCATGATGATGACTAGCATACACAGAAAAGGTAAACAGAAGTCGACTAACTTAAAAGTCGGCTAAAGTGTAGTAGGGGAGAGCATATAAAAAGATGATGAATACCAACCTGAAATTAATAAATAAGTCCCCACAAACCTCTAAATTGAACAAATTCACCAGTCATTGGTGACTAACTTCGAAAAGTGACCCTCGAAGTTTCAGTAGAAGATCGTGGTGGGTGGGGGCCAAAGAAGTGAAGCATGAGTACAGTTACTCAACTGCGGTATTGGATGAAGGTCACACTATATCGTGAAGTAAAGAAAGTAGGGAAAATGGATCAGTGACTCAATGGTAACCTGGATGTTTTGGGTTCAATCTTTGGCGGTGTTGTGGGTGTACGCTGCTGAAGAATCCTTTAATAGGATGGAACAGCTGTCCAGTGCTCTCAGGTTCACCATGTTTCTCCAACTGATGTCAAGCCATGTTGAGTACTAACTTGAAACCAATCAACATCCTCTATTTGTTTTAATGGTACTTAACACATTGATATATTGTTTGATAACAATTGTATCAAGATGTTTCACTACTGAAGCCAGTTGACCTCTTCTAATGTAGATTATTTTAGTGTCTACTGAAGAATTCAGTAGCATATACATACTGCCTATTAATTGTTTCATGTGAATTATTCAATATATTTGAAGGGAAAGAGATTTCAAATATTTTATGTCGGGATTTTGTAGTTCTTAAACCCACATTGTTTATTACTTCTAGTTTGTCTGTATGCAGCTAATTTTCTGCAATGAAAATAGAATTTCTGCCTGTTGGTTGTTACCCTCCGAATGGATTTGATCAACACTACGAAAAAAAAAGTATTTTAGTTTACGGCATTATTGTCTAAATTCTTTAAAGTAGCTTGAACACCTTTACAACCAATCAATAAAGGTAGAATTTCCAAAGAAATTTATATAACCATACTTTTAAGTGGAAAAGTTGGTCATACAATAAAATCGACACAAAAAAATGCTGCTTGATAAAAGACCTTAGATTACCACCACAACTGTACAAACTCTCTCCATGTATATATACATCCGTCTCAGCTTTGCACTCTATCGGCTTGAAAATCAACTTTTTATCGTTCGTCTAAGAACCAAGCGATCATTTGTGGTAAGGTTCGACGTTTCTGATATTAATAAGCCTAACAAATGGGTAGAGGAGATAAAATTTTATTATTTCGACATTTTGATCGAGTGTATCACCTCAAGCATTGAAGCTAACTCTGTCAATAAATCAATATCAACATAGGACCAGGCATTACTGCGTAACGGTCCGAGTTGCCATACCTCATATCAGCACATCAAGTAGAAAGGTAATGAGGTACGAGATGAAGATAAGAAAATTCAGTCGAAAGAAATATAAAGTACGAAAAGAGAGAATGGAAGAATGAGGAAATTGCGAGGTCCGGTATAGCGTCGTTAAGTTGAGAATGATGTATGTATACATCTGCGCCACTTACATCGGTCTGTCAATGAATAGTCTGTGAAAACTTCACTTCCAGCCTACCTTGTAATTTTTGACAAACTTCTGTTTCATCAATTATGTTGTGAATTTCTTCCCAAGAAATTTGGAACCAAAATGAACAAGCGACTTCTCAACAATAAACCAAACGTTCGAGTTACGCGCAAAACCCAAAACTCAGAATTTCTAGGAAATATGCTTCTATATAAATAAACAATATTGAGTAATAAGATACAAACCTCGAATCGTGAGGTTTATCCAGGTTTATCTCTATCAAAGCAATTTACGAAGAGTGCGTCAACAGTAAAAACAGCACAGCTGTGTCCAAGCGACCAGAAGGGAATATAAAGGACGTGTGTAAGTTCTCATGATGAAGTAAAGACACAAGATAAACAAATGTTCAAGGTAAATTAGAATATCAGGGAACAAGGAAAGAAATTACAACACTATCATGAAAAGTGGAAGATACTATTGAACAGTCATTGATGTGGATGGAACAACATTATTCGGAAACATGAATCATACTACTCAAAAATACTAAGTAGTACAAAACTGAAGACATAAAAGAGGATATGTTGGGAACATCTCATACGGTCAACGATAACAAGAAAGAAGTTAACAAATGTATTCTGGAATAAATTTCTTTTTAGAGTTATTTGTCACTGAGCAGACGCAGTTGAGCAAACTGCTTTTATGTGGAGGATTTTTCTTGAGGTACACCTCTCCACTTTTGTGGTGTAGCGTTTTATTTCAAGAGATTTATTCACAACGAACAGCGAATTCCCACATTCAGTATTTAAATCAAGATTTACAGTGAATAAAGTTCTTCTTTTCGACGATTTCGTTTACTAAAGGTGTACAGTCGTGTCTAAAAGACCTGGAATTAGATAGGGATACGTAATTACTACTATACTGTTTAAGAGTAGAATAGAAAGTTTCTGATCAGAGAAGAAAGTTACTAACTTTAGCTCATGGTAAGGCTAATGAATCCACTTAATGTACAATTGTTTTTATATGATACCGTTGTTGATTGGACCGATTTGATCGCTCTCTATTGGCATATGAGATCCTGTGCGGAGGCCTCGATATTGTCTGTGTTCCAGTTATGGTAAAGATTAATAGTGGCTTGCAGTGGAATCCAGGATGCCCATTTCTTCCTATTTGGGACTCGTTAGCTAGATGTACCTGCCGGCTCCCAGTGAGTTATACTGCTCCCACCGAGACTTGAACTCAGGAGCGATGACTTCAAACGCCACAGCGTTATCCACTGCCTTCAACAAGCCACGATAGCCACTTCTTGTGTGACGGGTATAGTTGTTTTTTTTGGTGTTATTGCTTGCATTACAAAGTGATTAATTGGACCGAATTGATCGGTCTCTATTGGTATATGGGATCCTGTGCGGATGCCTCGATATTGCCAGCGTTCTAATTATATTAACGATGGATAGTGGCTAACAGTGGGATCCAGGATGTGCATTTCGTCCTATTTGGCACTCGTCAGCTGGACGAAATGCACATCCTGGCTTCCACTGCTAGCCACGATCCGTCAATCCACTTCATGGTTTTAAGCACAAAGATGAAGTTTAAGATTGTAAATTGCCAATGGTTATTTGGCTATACATAGATGACTCAGTCGAAGGTTTTTAGAGCTGTAGAAGGGAACTGTGTAATTTACTTTAAAGGAACTACTAGGAGGAGTCAAATGAAAGTGTGCTCAACAGTGTGAGTGGTGAAATATATATTGTTTCTCAGATGCAAAATTCAAGTTCAACGGAGACTTCTGTGTACAGAATGTTAGTGTGGCAATGGGGTCCTCCTCTTAGCCGATTTATTGCTTGATGGGCCTATCTCGAAAATCGTCTCCTTAGTTCAATAATCACCAGGCAATAAACGCAAGTCAACTACATTTTCATTATATGCAATGAAGAATCTCATTTGAATAAGCTAGTCAATACTTTCAATGCTAGTCATTCATCCATGAAATCCATTCTAGAGTGTGAAACATATTTAATCTTTCTTATTCGGGGTGTCTTACCAACAAGTAGATCGAATTATTCTATCCAGAGATCAGTGTACATGAAATGGACAGTTTACTAATTTCCAAAGTCATATTCCTGTCATTAGTAAACAGAACTTTGTAAGTTCTCTATGTTCAAGGTTTCGGAAAACTTATTCTGAAGGTACACTAGATAGTGACCTAGGATTTCTAT